TAACGGTGGTAAAATTTAGTTTACATCAAATTTGCCGATGGTGGCTCCGCCACGGGAAGATATCGCTGAGAATGATTCCTCGCAAAGTCACGTGATCCGCGCTGTATTCATCAGAAGCTATAAATATAAATAAAGTTAATACTGATAGTACTTCGATCGAAATTCAGTCTTCAGAGACTCATGTTCCATCAAGTACAAAAGGTCTTCTACGTTCAGCCAATAGTCGTTGGATCAGCTACAGTCCCTCCATCTATAATAGTAACTGAAACTTCTCCTCCTTCTACCAGCAATGAACTAATAGTAGTTGCTCCTAGAAGAAGTATATTTATTTCAAGACTTCATTGTAATACTACAGTGGAGAATATTATCAACTACATACAATCTAAAAAACTAAATTTAAGTAATACCGATTATAAAATTTTTAAATTTAAATCTTCAGCTCAACGGGAAATATCTTCTTTTAAAATTGTTGTGCCGTCAAATTTATTTAAAGACTTTATATCAGACTAATAAAAACTTCTGCGTCACCAATATTTGGTTTTAACCAAGTTTCAGTGAAAACAAGAATTTTGTAATCACAGCCAAAAGACTTTAAATAAACATGTTTAAGCTTAGTGTTAAGACCTCTTACATTTTGGTAAAGTATAGCTAAAGGTTTTATTAGTTTTTTGAGGCAGGCGACACAGGGGGAATAGCCTCTAGATTTACTGGGTTATTTCGTTCCCTATATACAAATTCTTTTACTAAAACACCACCAGGCCAAAAGGATCTATTTATTAAGTCTTTAAATAAATTTGACGGCACAACAATTTTAAAAGAAGATATTTCCCGTTGAGCTGAAGATTTAAATTTAAAAATTTTGTAATCGGTATTACTTAAATTTAGTTTTTTAGATTGTATGTAGTTTATAATATTCTCCACTGTAGTATTACAGTGAAGTCTTGAAATAAATATACTTCTTCTAGGAGCAACTACTATTAGTTCATTGCTGGTAGAAGGAGGAGAAGTTTCAGTTACTATTATAGATGGAGGAACTGTAGCTGATCCAAAGACTATTGGCTGAACGGTAGAAGACCTTTTTGTACTTAATGGAACATGAGTCTCTGAAGACTGAATTTCGATCGAAGTACTATCAGTACTAACTTTATTTATATTTATAGGTTCTGATGAATACAGCGCGGGGACCGCTAATTGGTTTTCCGAGGAATCATTCTCAGCAATCTTGCGTGGCGGAACCACCATCGGTGAATTTAATGTAATTAAATTTTCACCGTTAGCAATAGCTGATGATTTCTTCCTCTTTGGTGAACCATCAACGTATTCAAACTTTGCAAACATTTTTTCAAAATTAACAAATTTTGATTTGATCGTATTTTTCCGCCGAATTAGCTGTAATTTAGTATTTTGAGTTTTTAATTGGTACCAAATCTCTCCACAAAAAATTATGAATATAGGTAAATTTTTTCGGTAGCCCCCATATAAGGGTACCACAAATGTTCGATATTTTGAGGTTCTTGAGCACGTTTTCAACCGAATTCGCTGAAATTTGGTACTTTGTAATTGTATATGATTACAAATCTCCCCATCAAAAATTATTAATAGGTTATTCTAACTTCAGTACGCTGTGAAAAGTTTGAGTCAATTTTGTGTAAAATCGGTCAACACCATATTAAATCGGATGAAAATATATCTAAATCTGGACCGATTTTCAGGAAACTTAACACACATAATTCTAGAGCTAATTCATTACGCTATGCCATATTTCGTGCAAATCGAAAGATATCTAGGTACACTATTTACATAAAATCGGACGAAATATAAATCTGGACCGATTTTCAGGAAACTTAACATACATCATTCTAGACTTAATTCATTACGCTATGCCAAATTTCGTACAAATCGAATGATATATAGGTACTTTGATACACCATTTACATTAAATCGGACGAAAATATATATGGGAGCTATATCTAAAATTAAACCGATTTTCAAAAAATTTAACACACATCATTCTAAACCTAATTTAGTACACTGTGCCAAATTTCGTGTAAATCGAAATATATATAGGGACTTTGGTACACCATATACATTAAATCGGACGAAAATATTTATGGAAGCTATATCTAAATCTCGACCGATTTTCAGGACACTTAACACACATAATTCTAGAGATAATTCGTTACGCTATGCCATATTTCGTGCAAATCGAAAGATATCTAGGGACTTTGGTACACCATTTACATAAAATCGGACGAAATATAATTCTGGACCGATTTTCAAAAAACTTAACACACATCATTCTAGACCTAATTTATTACGCTGTTCCAAATTTCGTGCAAATCGAAAGATATATAGGGACTTTGATACACCATATACATTAAATCGGACGAACATATATATGGAAGCTACATCTAAATCTGAACCGATTTTTCCCAATTTCAATAGGGTTCGTCATTGGGCCAAACAAATGAGCTGTGCCAAATTTCATCCAAATCGGATAATAAATGCGACCTATACTTTGTTCACAATTTAACATGGACAGACAGACAGACGGACAGATGGACGGACGGACATGCATAGATCGTCTTAAAAAGTGATTTTATGCATATTCTCAAAAGTAACCATGTGTCTATCTCGTTTCCTTTTGCCTGTTACAAACATATGCACAAATACATAATACCCTGTACCACAGAGTGGTGAAGGGTATAATAAAATATGTATTTTGAAAATTTTTAATAATTGACAAATGAAGGCTTAAACGAATGATATGCTTCAAAGTTTTGCCCAAAATATCTCAAAATAGCACCTTCGACGTGGTGCAAGCCAAAAAGCTCGATAAAAAATTCGTGGAAATGCAATAATGCTTCATAATATTTTTCGAAAAAATGTCGCGGTTTTTGACATTTTCTCACCTTTTAAATCTTCCCTGAAGCTCCACGAACATTTCAAGACTAAGATAAAAAAAATCCGCTCAGCCGTTTACCTATATGGGATGATTTTTGGAAAGAATATGTATACCACTACACCAAAATTACATAAGGAAATTTTTAATGCGGCAGTTGGTAGACAAATTGGGAGAATTAAAATTGCCTAATGTAAATCAGTAGGCCTATTCTGTAACTTTTTAACAAAATTCGATAGTGTTTATTTTACAACAATTTCATGTGTTTGTTTTGTTGTTTTTATAATAACAAAAGAATTTGGCCAGCAGGTCATTATATAAATTACATTCTAATAATCTTCTGATTTTATACCCCTTTTACAATCTCTATAAAAATGTTTTTTCAAGTTCTTAAAATTCCCAAATTGGCAACCCCTATTTATTATTTGCGTTTCATTAAAATTTATACATTTTTTTTCTTCAAAATATAAATCAAATTTAATTTAGTTTCGGTTCATAAATTCCCCATATTTTCATCTAAATTACATAGAAACGTACGCAAATATGCCCCTTCCTTCGCCGCGTACGGTCCAAACCGATCCTAATATTTTACGTAAATTACATCTCGCCCATACGAAATCCATTGCGAATGCCCAAAGTTTGATTGATGTGAAACCGACGAAGATGTTGGCAACAACCTTTTTGAATATGAATAAACTTAAGGATGATTTCAAGGCTAGCAAAAGGATACTCAAGGATAATATACAACTGCTGAAACGGATAAATTATATACAACGAAATCATGGCAAAACAGAATGCTACAACAAATACCAGGGACAAAAGCGGGCCTATTTGGAAAATGTGAATAGGCAACGGGAAAGAATACAAAAGGAGAATTTCGAATTGGGTTGTCGTTTGCTGAAGATTACCTCAACAATGGATACTCATGAAAGAGTTAAGCAGTCAAAGGATTTAATCGAAAGAGAAGAAAAACAACCATCCCCACCGCTTGATGAGGCAATGTTAAGTGCCTACATGGAGGTGGCATTGGTAAAAGAAAGAGAAATGATGGAACAGCTGCTAAGGCCTAAAATCTATTTGGATCTCGGTGTCAAGAACATCCGTCACTTGGGTCGATTTGTTATTCAGCTATACACTGAGGCATGTCCTGATTTGGTATTGCAGTTTGTACGGCTTTGTACCCATAATATGTGTGATCAAATCCAATTTATACGCATCTTTCCTCTGCTATGGCTTGAACTAGAACTTGCAGTAGAAAATGAAATTCTAAGTAAGTCGGATTTTGAATATAAGGAAAATTGTTTGAATCTAGCTCAGAGCGTTGGTGTTCTGTCATTTGTCAAAAGTTATCTACAAGGATTCCCATGGGGTCTGTTAAATTTTACCATAAATTTTAAAACTGTGCCTCTGTGTCAAAATAAACGCATACCCTTTGGCATTATAACCAAGGGTCTAAGGATATTAGCCTACCTCCCAGAGTATGGTACACGAAATGGTAAAACTAAACGGGATATTGTTGTCAATAAATGTGGTCTCTTGTGAAAAAGAAATATGATTTTGTGTTTCTTTTTCTGGAAATTTGTATCGTATACTCACTGTAAATATCACAATGCTCGCCCTCGTAGTGTGAACCAAAACAATCACACGATATGCCATAGTAGTGATTAATGCAACGCGATCCAACGAAACATAAATTGTGACGTGAATGACATTTGTCCGGACAGCCTTCGTTGACGTTTTCATGTTTCGTGGCCACCAATGGTGATATGGGCAATAGATCAGATGCCGCCTTGCCCGAGCTCAGCGTCACATTGCGTATACAGCCGACAAATGATTCGATGATATATTTAACACCGTGCAATTTTTCTTCGGACGAAAGACCTGCAAAAAAGAGAAAGAAAAACGAAATGTAATTAATGGGAAAATGGAAATGCGGAAAATGAAAGCAAAGGGATATTGTTATGAATTTTGGAATTATAGCTAAATTTTTCATATTTTATACACATGTTATTAGGAAATTTAATCCCGCACCAATGTGGTCGATATTCCCAAGGATAATTGCCTTTCGCACAGCGAAAACAATTATTATAAGAACAATTAATACCATGGTTATGCGGCCAATATTGAATTATACCGAAATTAAAAAAAAAGTAGTAAAGTCGGACGGGGCCGACTCTAGGATACCCTTCACCACTATGGGTACATTAAACAGGACTATTAACATGAAATTGGATGAAATAAAATATGTGATATTTATCTAAATGTGAATCTACCTAGATTTGTCCATAAAGTGTGTAAATCGACTTCAAACAAATATAAATAGGTCATCCGGTTGACTATGTCTGTACTTCTAGAAAACGCAACTACGTAATTCTATGCTCAATTTTGTACGTTGTGCAAAATTTGATGTCAATCTGACTAACATGAGGAGTATGATGCCCAATTTGCTTGATATCGGGCGAAAAAATATATGTAAGCTATATCCACATATTAAGCGATTTCAAACAAACTTGTCACAGGTTAGGTTATACTAACTTTAGAACGTTTTGTTCCTATTGGTTCCTTGGTGCGTCAATTACATAAAATCAATCTATAATAAAATGGAGCTATATCTAAATCTGGACCGATTTTCACGAAACAAGGCAGACATCACTCTAGGCTCAATTCAGTACGTTATGCCAAATTTCGTGCAAATCGAAAGATATATATCGATTTTGGTGAAGCATTTACATGAAATCGGACGAAACTATATGTGGGAGCTATATAGAAATATGGACCGATTTTATCGAAACTTGGCAGACATCACTCTAGGCTCAATTCAGTACGTTGTGCAAAATTTCGGGCAAATCGAAAGATATATATGGATGTTGGTGCACAATTTACATGAAATCGGACGAAACTATATATGGGAGCTATATCTAAATCTGGACTGATTTTCACGAAACTTGGCAGACATAACTCTAGGCTCAATTCAAATTTCGTGCAAATCGAAAGATATATATGGATTTTGGTCACAATTTACATAATCGGACGAAACTATATATGGTAGCTATATCTAAATCTTGACCGATTTTCACGGAGCTTGGAAGACATCATTCTAGACCTAAATGATTAGGCTGTACCAAATTTCGTGCTAATCGAAAGATATATAGGGACTTTGGGGCCCCATTTACATTAAATCGGACAAAACTATATATGTGAGCTATATCTAAATCGGGACCGATTTTCATGAAACTTGGCAGACATCATTCTAGGCCCAATTAAGTACG